AGCGGGTTAAGGGCGGGGGGCGGAGCCCTCTTCAGGGATTCGACCCCTTGCCGACCCAAAGGGTCACACCTTCGTACTATTTTGAGATATCCAATTTTGGTTGACTAGCCCTAAAAACTTTCTAAAAACGCCTGTGGCGCCAAAATAGACTAAATTTGAGGTAAAAGCGCGGACTTTTTTGTCAATTTTTTCCAATAAAAAGGTCGACAAAAGTTGAAAATCCGCCCCCTCGAGAAAATCCTAGATCCGCCCCTGTTTCAAAATGTCTTTTTTTATGTTTGTTGAACTGACTATTATGACTAAATGCGTGATGTTACAATGCAATGTAGTGAACTATTGATCACAATGGTTAGGTTATTCAAGTTGTTCAAGTTTCATTGCATTATGACAATACTTAAATAGTTTTCAAAAATGAAAACCGAATATGGGGGGAAGTGGAAAAAACCCGCACATGCCCTTGTAAAACCACGCATACACGACATCACTCATTACACTTTCAATCAGCCATAAAAGGACAAAAAGAAAAAATGTTCAGCCATACCCCACTATCGATAAAAATCGCGTTTTTTTTGGCTAGTGCTCCCCTTCTAAATTAGCACATATGGGCGCGAAAAAGTGTACCCCTTACTAATGCCCCATTTGATTATATACCGATAAAGACAACTATACAAGCACGGCAAAATAGCACGGAAAAAAATGAGGAACTAATATGCTCAGGGCAATTTTTTCTGTCTTTATTCATACAATTCTTTGGTCACTCGAGAGATTGATCTCTTGATCTGCATGGTCCCTGATACGAGCACTCTTGTTCATCTATACATAGCTCGTAACATGCATCGCTCAATTTAGTAGTAGAGAAGAATGGGAAAACACGATTAAACATGTTAGTCATGGGCTAGTGAGTCATTGCGCCAGTTCTCAGAGCAGATCCACTAGACCCAAGTAATCGAATGAAAGAGTAAAATCTACCAAGTAACGCACAAGGAAACTAAATCAAACCTAAAAATTACTGAATCCACCTTGATATACGGCTTCTGATTTTGATAGTAAACGGCGTACGTTAACTGATTTTGTTAATGCCCACCACCTCCCCACAGTCAAGCCGCTATATAATATTGGCCTGAAATTAAAATTTTTTAAAGGCTCGTTCGGGTATCTTTTTCCAACACTGACTGAACCAAATTTTTCCCCAATTAAGCTGCTCTTGTTTGGAGCCACATTTTCAGAGTTAGCTGAATTTGGTTCGGTACATTGTTCAGAAGCAACCGGTTCTTCAAAATTCTCCTGTTACGCCTGTAAACTACGCCTGTACAAAAAAAAATCCAATTGCGACAAAGACACAAACTTTGTTCCATATCCATCTGTGATAAGAAAACTAGCAACTCCAACATTGGAAAATTAATACCGAAAAGTTTTGATAACATGATCCGCGACATGTTTTTGATATACAAGTCCGGTTTTAAAAACAGCCAAGACTGGAGGCTTTGTGAGCTCTTTGCATACTTTTATGAATTCTTCTGGTTAGACAGGTTCCCATTAGGTTCCCTAAAACAATTGGAGTCCTCTATCAGTGGACGCAAAGGTTCGAAAGGACGCAATGTCTCCTAAAAATTGAAGAAGAAAAAAAACTGCAGTAGAAGGCTAAAAAAGCTTCTCAAGCGTGTTTGATTGCGGGAGTCGGAAATTCTCGGAGTCCTGTATTCGCCGGATCAATCGACCAACAAGCTTTATTCGACATAAAGTCAGAGAAACTTAATTCCGGCTTTCTGAAGATAACTTTCCTTACCAATAACGTCAATTCGAGTTTGCAGGAACGTTCTAGAGCTTCACGCATCAGCTGATTGTAATCTTCTTATGAATGAGTAATCACGACGCAATAGTCTACAACTTTTTCAAGTCTGAGAACTCCCTCTAACGCATTATCCATACGTAGATTGAACTCAACGCCAGCTGACTGATAACCAACCCATTGTAATTCATGAAACAAATATCAACCCCAAGGTGTGACGGAAGTGATCAGTTTTTTAGATTCACCGTGCAGAGGAGCTTTTCAGAAACTTTTGTAGCATCGAGTGTAGAAAAGTATTCAGTACCATTCGTATTTGTGATGGCAGCTTTCGGCGTCTTCGTTGGGTGCAGATTTCGTTGGGTGCAAAAACTTTCTGTTCAATCATTTGATCAAGTTAAAATTTAATTTGCTCGCGGTAGAAAAAGGAATTGTTCTAGCCACTGTTATTTAAAAGAGCATTGCAATTTTCTTCGAATTGATGTGAACTGGTTTCTTTGCCATCACATCTAAGTCATCACCGTTGTCATCAAAAACATCGGTAGAACCCGATAGTAGTTTTTCTGTCCTCTTCCACTTGAGAGACCAAAGGAGGCTGGCTTAGAGTTGTTTTCGAAATATTTAATCTGGCTGGACTCTGCTCGTGGAAAAGCCAGTTTTCAGGCAATAACTTGAGCGCCATAAGAGTCCTCTTTGAGAAAAAGGCGTCTTCGAATAGCAATTGATTGGGCAGCTATCTCTACGCCAACAACAATATGCTTCTTCCACTTGGTTGTCTAAGTTTTGGCACGCATAAAAATCGAGCCAACGCCGATACAACCAAAAAATCAATCACAGTACCATTTGCCTTTAGTTTAGGCGCAACCCTACTTTCTATTGGGCGCGCTGACATAGTTCTTTTCGGAGGATTTGTTGAAGAGTAAGGTCTTTCAAACGTTTTTTCAGCGTCTCTTCTCTTTTCGCTGACAATCGTTTACTTTTTTCAGACTCTTGTCCAAATTCCCTCTATCAATTTATTTCGATATTCCATTTGTTCAGCAAACGTTTTCATCATATTACGCATCAAATTCTCAGATGCTGACTGCGCCATATAACGAGTGGTACTCACGTTAATTCGTTTGAAATAGAACAAGACTGCTCGTATCAGGGCGAAGCCCTGAATGTTCCGACTGCCTTTAAGGTTTATGGAGCAGCAGTAATAACATTTAAAAAATTAAATGAAACAAAAATTTTTGTTCTAAAATTTGAAATTTTTATGAAAATCATCTCCCCACACGCCATATAAAATACAAAAGAGAGATTTCGTTCCTTATAACAAATCAATTATGGCGAAGAAGCTTCTTTCAACCAATTTGGAACGATTTATAAGACGGATTAAATCTCCGCTTACGCGTTAATAGCGCGAATTATATCGCGCGTTAATTGTCCCAAATTGGTCAAAATTGCCAAAATGGCAATCTTTAAACCCTCATAACTTTACAAAAAATGATCAGAGGTGACATATCTTTTCAAATTTAAGCTTAGGACAACAATAGCTTTCGAATGATATTAAAAAATTCTATCAAAAATGGTTAGTTAAAAAATCGACATTTGTCTGAAGAAAAAAAAACCCCACCCCGAGCACAAATATTCCGTTACTTTCGTATCGAAAGTCGGAACAACAAAATACACTCAGACCCAAAAGACACAACTAATCGAATAAGAAAATAAAACATACCTAGATAATAAAAGGAACACGCCATGAAAGTAAATCAAAGCAAAAAGTGACTAAAACAATTTTGATATATGACTGCTGATTTTTATAGCAATATGCCCACGTTAACTGATTTCAATAACGGCTACCATGAGCACAATTTTTTACAGTTGACATTTTTGCAGGTGGGGAGAAACACAAAAGTAAGGCTCTTTTCCAGTCCCCACTTTCATATTCAATTTTGAAAAGTCTACTTAACGTTGTCACAATGCAATGAAATTTGGCGTGGAGAACAAATCGACAATTCGGCTCTTTTCCAGTTCCCCCCTTTCAAATTCAATTTTGAAAAGCTTATTTAACGTTGTTATAATGCAATGAAATTTGGCGTGGTGAACAAATCGACAACTGTGAACAGATTTGTTCTTCATATTTTACAGCGTAACATCACGCATTTAGCCGTGATAACACGTAAAACAAACATAAAACTCGGTATTTTGAAAGGGGGGGAACTGGAAAAGAGCCAACAATTCTGAACAAATTTGTTCTTCATACTTTACAGCGTAACATCACGCTATTAGCCGTAATAACACGTATAACAAATACAAGACTGCTCGTATCAGGGCGAAGCCCTGAATGTTCCGACTGCCTTTTAAGGTTTTCTGGAGCAGTAACAACATTAAAAAATTAAATATAAGAAAAATCAAAATGAAAATTTTTTTCTAAAAATTGAAATTTTTTATGAAAATCATCCCCCCACACGCCATATAAAGTACAAAAAGATAGATTTCGCTCCTTGTAACAAATCAATTATAGCAAATTAGCTTCTTTAACCAATTTGGAACGATTTCTAAGACGGATTAACTCTCCGCTTACTAGTTAATAGCGCGAAATATATCGCGCGTTAATTGTCTCAAATTGGCCAAAATGGCAATTTTTAAACCCCTATAAGTTTACAAAAAATGATCACAGGTAAAATATCTTTTAAAAAATTCCGTCCAAAATGGCTAGTTAAAAAGTTGAAATTTGTCTGAAGAAAAAAACCCACCCCGAGCACAAATATTCCGTTACTTTCGTATCGAAAGTCGGAACAATAAAACTCGGTATTTTGAAAGGGGAGAAAAGAAAAGAGCCAAAAGTAGTTATTATGTTCACCTTACAAATTTTCATAGCTTACGACAACGGTAAATTAATTTTTGGAAAAGTGATTTTTTCAAATATGGGGCAAAGTGGAATAGAGCCAAAGAAAAAGATAATTGCATTGATAAAAACAATTTTCAGTTTCTGTTTTGAAAGTTTTAATTAGCGTATCCTAATGCAATGAAATTTGGCATGGGAACAAGCTGAAAACTGTGAACAGCTTTGTTCTTCAAACTTCAAATCGTAACATCACTTATTTAGCCATAATGAAAAACATAAAAGTCGATTTTTTGAAAGGTGGCGCGGGGTAGGGGTTGGAAAAGACCCTCATTTGAATGTCACAGAGATTGAGAGCATTCAACTGAAACGCATACCTCAGTCCACTCAAATCTGCAGTTTTCGAGTTTTCGAGTCGAAAGCATTTCTCAGCCCATAATGCTTCATAAGCGGCATCAGGTCAATTGTGGTCGTCATCTTGAACTTAGGCAACTTCACATCCAAGTCAGTATGCTTCACTTTCTTCTTCAGTCGTCTCAAGTGTTTTGACTTAATGAAGTGTGACAACTGAGCCATGTTGATGCGACTATTGGGTAGAAATATGGCCATCTGCCATCTATCTCTCTCAATTTGTCCTTCATAAGGCAGGAAAATGACCTCAAACCCATGTTTTGAGTTATCCACATACTCAAAGGTGTCCGCTTTGTTCATGTACATTACAGACACAGTTTTGCCAGAGGCGTTAAAAGTGCCTTGTTTTGTCATCTTCTTCGGAAACTCCATTTCCCATTGCGATTTCATGTAAACTGTGTTGCAGACATACAAAAGGGAGTCACTCTGAGTCTCGTGGACAATCTCTCGAATTCGCCCTCTTGTCGCTCTTTTCAGCCACGTATTCATGGTTTCGGCAGCTTCTGTTCTCGAATCAAAATTTGCGTGGTGAGCTTCCGCCTTGAATTTTTTTTCAATGGTTCTTTTAAACTCGGGAATCACCGGGTATTTTGTGTGAACAAATACTCCATCAGTGTTATGTACTCGAAACTCTTTATCGGTTGTAATATGTTCTAAAATAGTCGCAGACTCCTTCACCGATTTTTGAATATTGTCCTTGACACAAAGTAGCTCGCAAATTTCCTCCATTGTTTTTCCTTTGGCGCCACAACTCAACATACCCACCGTAATATAAGCAGTTACTGGAGACATAAGAAAATTCCTATTTGCGTTGGTTTTGTATAACTTAGCGACAATCTCGTGGCAGAATTTATGCAATGACGGATGGAGCCAGCTTTCGTAGTCACTGGTCTTAGAGAAGCCTGCCACGTTGCATTTGGGTTTATTGAAGTCGGGGGTCTTGGAGAAGTTTGTGTTCACACTCGTATCGTTCCCCCCGCTCATTCCACTCGCCGGTCTGGCCGAGTGGGGTCTCTTGGATCTGTGAGAGCGCTGGGACTTACCTGGGTCCGCACTCTTGGGTCTTTTCTTGTCTGACATAGTTATAGTCTATTAGTCATTCATTAATTTTTGTAATACTTTTTGAATTGGAGTCGGTCTTTTTTGTTGTTATCTTGCTTGGTGTTGTCGTCGTGCTTCGTAGTTAAAGTCACAGTCAATGAGTCAGCACGTGATTTTTTAATTCCTCAGTTTTTATTCGACAATTAATCTCCATTGCTAGATTCAAGGTTCAACTTCCTAAAACTTTAAGGTCCGTTTTTGAGCTATAATTTTGCCAGAAAATTAATGTTCATTCTAAATGACTTTTCATTTTCATACGAAAAAACGAAATTTTCATTTTCAAAAAACGGTTATTTCGCTCAATATAACACTCGGCGGTTCTTTTTAATTTTCTCCCACCTGCAATATTTTTTATCTGTATTTTTTGCCATTTTTGCGGTTGATATAAAAAATATAAAAATTGGTTCTTTCACGGCTCTTTTTCCTTCCCCCCCCCCCCACCTGCAAATTTTTACATGTAAATTTGTTGACCACATTGTCCGATTATTATGAAAATTTACATACAGACTAATAAGGGCACGACAAACATATTTGGTCTTCATACTCAACCTCGTAAAACCTCTCGTTACAATAATATATTGAAGCTCGTATGAGGTGGTGGGGAAAGGAAAAAGCCAAATTCACTTTACGAAAGCCCATTTAAGATAACTTTTGATCGTCTTAATTGCAAAAAAAAAAACAAATTAACAAATTTCTAACTTGCAGATACACAGATGAACACTTTTCAAACACAACTACATATACAACGGGGTGGAAAACTGAAAAAGAGCCAAAATCACTTGCACTTAAATCAGTCTAAAAATTTGGGAGATAGAATGCTTTTTTTAATGAAAAAATTGGAACCCGCTCATCACAAGTACAATCACAAAAAGAATTTTTTTTTTTGGGATTTTGAAATCAGTTTGTTGATTTCAAAGAGCGAAATTTTTTATATAGGTTTGGAATTTTAATACATGCTAGATAAAACTATTTGGACTTTTGGAGGGAGCTAGCCGGACCAAAAATAAAAAATTGTGTTTTGAAAATGTAAACTAGCCAGAATATCATAACTAGTTTCACAGGTGTTACTAGTTTCTGAGCATTTTCTGCACAAAATTGCTCAAAATTTTCCAAAGAACCAATTTGAGCACGTAAATTCGTTTTTTTGGTGTTAAAGATAATATTTCCAGAAAAAAGCACACATATGGAACTGGGTATGACTTTCTGACTATGTAACGCCTTCAAAACACAATTAATCTAATTATTAATCTGGCTAGTTCCTTCTAATAGAATTTGATTTGAACCCAATATCTTAAATAGCTGCAGGAGAAAACGACAAAAAAGTGAAGAAATTTTTGTTTGTTTGGTTGTTGAAGTAAAATTAAACAAAATTAACTTAGGAATAATTTTAAAATGAAATGATTGAAAAAAGCCGAGGGAATCGTAAGCTCTGCGCCTTCCACGCTTTGTTTTGAGCGAAAAAGTTTTTCGCTCATCCTACGTTTAAGCTCATATTCAAACCGGGAAATGGAATCTTTAAGCGAATAATTAAACGCTTTTTTCCTGTCCAATGCAAACTTTAAAGCTTAATTCATTTAGGATTGAAAGATCTTTATCATGTCTAACTTGTGGCTCCAATTAAGTTTATTAGTCTAGTAAATAAGCAGGCAGGATGCATAAGTAACTTAGCTGCAATAGCAAGAAAAAATATTTCGTTGTTCCCACTGGAAAAGTGTTCATTGATCTCTTTCGTTGCTATTTTAAAAACATGACCCAGCCCTGCTATTACCCACTTCACGTGCAGATTGGGTTGAGTTTACTTCTGGAATCTATGTTTGTAATGTCTGAATGGGAATGGCAACAATGTTTAATTGCCTTGTGTGAATCGGTCCTTCCAACCCCCCCCCCTTCTAGCCGGTTATGTCCTGTTATGGCGGCTATTTACATTGGCAGTGGCAAGGTGTTGTAATTAACTGCAACTTGGGCCAGCATTTGTAAACAAGCAAGTAATTATTAGCTGCCTGAAATCTTGTGTTTAATTTCAGCTTGTGTTTTTTGCCCTTTTCAATTAAACAATCGCCCCACGATACGAATGCACGTCTAAATAGTCCAATGCAAAGACATTGCCACTAGCAATCTTTGACATATAATTGGCAGTTGAGAATACTGCGCTGTGATTGGTCAGTTGTTCTCGTCTAACTAGCGCATTTTAGTCTAAAAATCTTCATGTCCGGATAATTTGGACTGGTCAAATCACTTTTTGGATACCAAAGCAAACAATCATTCAATTCACTTTAACAACAAAAAATTGTTGTTGATCTTGATAAGCGATAAAAACAATTTTTCCTTTTGCTCATTCATAAAAATTACACCAAACTTCTCAGATAAACTTCGATTTTTTTATCGCAAAAAATTGTTCAAAGTCATAAAACATTCTCTCCTGGAAACATGGCAGCCAGTCCAATAAAATCGTTTGGAATCAAAGATCTTCTGGGAATTTCGGACAATGGATCAAATCCTCCGGCTCCTCGAAACATCCAGTCAGAATTCTTGTCGCCGACGAAGCCTCTGAACTTGAAGGTAGTCGACAACCTTCTCAATCTTCCTGTGAGTGTTGCCGGTTTGCTGGTTGAGAGTTTGAAAAACTTGGACGCAGATTCTTCGAACATGCATTCCATATTCAACTTGCTCAATTTACAAAATCTGCTGCAGGGATCATTTTCAGGACAATCATTCAACAATTTCATGCCAGATTCGAGCTCCGGGTTGATATCTGGGGTCAATCCAGGGCTCGACCCACAAAAAAGCATCTCCGATTTGACGGCTCTGATGGGCCTTTTCCAAAGAGACATTCCAAGCAACAACTCTTCTAATTTTCTTCCAAATATAAACATGGGTCTTCACAGCCAACCGCTTCCAGCACCTTTTGTTCCAAATGTTCCTACTAGTATCTCAAATCAGATAGCCAGTAATCATCAGGTAAATTATATCATTTAGGGCACGAATTCTTGCAAAATCAGAGATTAAAAAAATGGCGTTGTTTTTCTGAACATCTTGCTTTTTTCGATTATATAGATTTCAATCCTAAATTCCAGAAAAATCCCGAATTTCAACGTCTTCCGTGAAAATTCTTTTGCTGAAAAAGTATTCCCAAATAAACTTTTTTATAACTCATGTTCATTAGAAATTATTGTTCATTAGAAGTTAATGTTCATTGAAATTAATGTTCATTAGATGATGGTATCGCCGAATAACATGGACCTGCTTGAATGGAGTCGTCTCGTGAACTCAATAACAGGCAACACCGCCGCCAACACTGCTGTCTCTAGGAACCAAAGTCACACACTTGGGGGTCTGCATTCACCAATCAGTGATGAGCAGCTGAGTCAGATTGCACAGTCTCATCTGAATGAGATGTCAGCTGCTGCTCTTCCTCTTCTCACCTCTTGCTCTTCTTCTTCTTCTTCTTCTTCTTCTTCTTCTTCTTCTTTGGCACATTATCACCTCCAGCAGCAGCAGCAGATGATGTCATTGTCCGCAGCCATACATTACGAGCACACGCAACACATGATGGCCACAACGTCCCATACATCATCAAAGCCAGAAGGTTCTAAGTCATTTACATCTTGAACAATTGTTCTGTATTTTGTTTCTTTTAATTTTTTTTCGAAGTACTTTGAGAACTGTAGTTTTCTATGCTGGTTTTTTGCTGTTTTTTTGATGCTCAATGCTGGTATAATGAAATTTAAGGCACTTTCAGTTATTGGTCTATAAACCCGAAAACCAAAATATAATTTTTGGACCAATTTGTCTTAGTTTTTAAATAGAAAGCTTTCAACTTTAGGAGTTTTGTTTCCCACTCCCTCTTCGCTTATCTGCTCACCCCCTGAAAACCACAACAATAACAGCAACCACAACATTCACAATTCAAACAGCACGAGACTGGTGGAGCAGATGCAGATGAGAGGCGGAGGTGGCTGCAGTTCCTCCGAGTCCTCGGATGTCAGTCCCTCCGGATGTCCTCTCGCTCTACTCTCCTCCCTCCCACAGCAAGTGGACAAAAGCACAGGTCAAATCAGCCACAAGAAATGCAGACGCAGACACAGGTCAGTTAAGCAGAAGTTAATTGCAAGATTTACGCAGACCAGTTAGATGACTGTCACTCATAACTGACAGAGTTTTTACAGGGAGTTTTTCCTTAAAAGATAGATATGAGCCTCAGATTTATCTTAGTTTTCATTTAAAATCAAACTTTATGGCATGCATTCTGTCAACAAAATTGGTTGAACGAGTAATAAACTTCACTCTGTATCAGAATTGCTCTTTCGAGGACCACACCTAAATGCTTCTTGCTTTTTGGAGGCTATGTTCATCGTGTTTTAAAAGCAAAAAAGAATAAAAAGTGCAGATTTCATATATGAAATGAAGCTCGTTCCAAATCACCACATCACCGTCTGCTTGTCTGTTTTTAGGACCATCTTCAGTGTGTCCCAGGTGGAGGAGCTGGAGAGGGCGTTTGAGGACGCACACTACCCAGATGTGGTCCAGAGGGAGACACTCTCCAACAAGACCGAACTACCCGAGGACAGGATACAGGTACACTACTACCACTACTACTACTACTATACTTCGTCCCTGTTTGAACTTTTACTTATTGAGCTTTTTGTCCGAGTTTCATGACGTGGCTAACGTAAAATTATGAAACTTTTTTTAGTATTATTGTAAGCATCGTTTTTCTTCAATACGTTTCTCTTTCAATTGCACGCAACATTAACACTATTTACATGTTTGGACGCACCCCCCTCCTCAGGGATTCGACCCCCTCACCAACCAAAGGGCCCCCTTTGGTTTTTCTTATGATATCCATTTTAGGCCGACCAACCCTAAAAGTTTTCTTAAGGCGATTTGGGCACCAATATATACTAATTTTGAGGGGGAGCGGAGGGCGTGCCGAAAAAATGTGTTTTTTTGCAATCAAAATTTTCCAAAAAGGCCTAAAAACAGCTGAATAAACTATGAAAGATGGATTTTAGTTCAGGGGCTAATCTAGAATTTTTTCGAGAGGAGCGGAATTTCAAAAAAAAACTGATCGACCAAATTGATTTTCCGAGCACTCCCAGAGCAGCTACTTAAGAATTGCCACCCCTATAAATAAAAGCAGTAAATTAACACTGAGCTTTCTATTGAGAATTAGAATTTTGCTGCATTGATTGGTCGAAAATGCGTTAACTTAATCTACTTAACAATTGCCCCCCCCCCTTCTTAAAAAGCCCCCCCCCCCTTCTTAAAAAAAGGGGGGGGATTGTTAAGTAGATCCCATTTTTGTCACTAATAATCCTTCTTAATCAATTATTATCGATGAACCTCCAGTGCGGGTGGCCACTTATCGCACCATCAAGTATTGATAGAATATATTTATATAAAATATGCATAGGATAACGAGGTACCGAAGGTCACCTCACGACATTCTTCGGACAAAGTAAAAGTTCACGTTTTAAGTATTATCGTTTTAACCTGTTTTGGACATTATGGCATAGTGTATATATAGAATTAGTTCGTTGTATTTATAAGAGCTTTTAAGCGTTTTCATTTCGAAGGGATTGGAAGAATCTATGGCGTAGGGTTAATTTCTTTAGTCGATTCACTTAGAAATTTGTGATCAGAATTTTTGGCTTTTATTTACAATTTTAAGTTTTGAACTCATTTACTTGCACAGCAACAGGTTTTTTTTATTGAAATGACTTCGAAGCAAGTACTGCGAAAAAAATAAATAAATCTATCATTGGTAACTGGTTACAAAGATCTATCATTGGTAGCTGGTCCAGCTCGATTTGTCCAATGACATTGCAGTTAGTTTAGTTTCCTCTTAAGTTATAACAAGTTAATAGTAGTAATATTAATAATAACATTCACAAGTTGACTTGTTTTGCTTGTAATACTAACTGACTTTAGGTAAAATTTATTAGCAGACCCACTTTGTTGATACTTCTCGCTTTAGGCGAGGTCCCGTCCGCACGGTGTCGGCGACAGCCAAGTTGCGAGCAAACCCATTCTTCAATTAACGCATTGAGGGCTTCAACAAAGCCGAAATTGATAAAGCCGAAAACAAGCAAATGTTCAAAAATTTAACGGTTTCTGATATTTTTCGGATCTACTTAACAATCTCTCCCCTTTCAAGAAAGAACGGGAGATTCTTTAGTAGAAACAATAGGGGGGTAGGGGGAGGAAGATTCTTTAATAGATACAATAGGGGGGGGGGGGGGGAGAGGAGAGATTGTTAAGTAGATCCTATTTTTCATAGCAAAAATAAGGTTTAATGAGATCTAAGGAAAAAAGCATTTTTTTTTGCAAGCTGGACGTCATTTTTGGTTTCGGCTGTTTAGTCTGCATTTGTAAAGACTGCTGTTTAGTACTGTTTATTACCTCTGCATTCGTTGTAGAAGAGGAGACTCATGAAAGTTTGGGGCCATAGCTGTGGGCCTTCTATGTCCTGTTCGTGTGTGTTATAAGTTAAGTGTAGTAGTATGTAGGATAGTAGTAGTATGTAGATATATAAGGTGGTATTATGTTTGTGACAAGTGTCAGATGGAGTGACGGACACTTGATTGTTAATCAATAACGTGTCCCCCGCACCTCACTTCCCAACCCCCCTTCGCACAAGCGACCACAAACACTGCACACATATCAACACATCACTAACTAAACCGGCCGGCCCACTAATTACAGGTTAATTTATGCTCTAATTGTAGGTATGGCCACCCCACGTGGAGTTACACGTGTTGTCAATCGCCCCAACCAATTAGCAATCTATCAAAACAAACTTTAATTGAGAACTTACAACTTATAATAACTACTAAACTATTGATTTCTGGTCGGTATCTCTTCATGGCGCTTTCCTGTCCTATCAAAATACTACTACGCGACAAAATACATATCCAAAAGCCACCACGAAACTGCTAAAACAATAAAAACTTTAATTGAGAACGATCTAAAATGAAGTGATTGATTGCTGATTGACTCATACTAGATGTCATTCAATGTAGTAATCATATGGATTCTTGATTCAGATGAAAACAAGTTTTTAGCTGCAGTACATGAAGATCTTCATCAATGTTCGACATCATTTTGTCTAATTTTCGGCAAAATTTCATTTAATATGAGTGTCCTTATGTGTTGCAGGTGTGGTTCCAAAACAGACGAGCCAAGTGGAGGAAGAAGGAGAAGAAGTGGGGCAAGGCGTCCATCATGGCCGAGTATGGCCTCTATGGGGCCATGGTCAGACACTCCCTCCCCCTCCCAGACGCCATACTCCGAAGCAGAGAAGAAGAGGAGGAGGAGGACGATGAAGAGGACGACGAAGTGGGTGAATACGAAGACGATGGCAAGAACGAGTCGAGAGAGATGAATGAGACAACACTGAATGACATTGGTAATTTAGAAGGAGAAGGGGAAGGCGTGAACAAGATGAATGTGAAGTGTGAAAACAGTGCTAGTAGAGGCGGGGAGGCTGTTAAGAAGTGTTCGACCAAGAAGAAAGTGAAGAAGGAACCTATTGCACCTTGGCTTCTTGGTGAGTTATTCCCTACAAACACCACCGGATTTGAGGGGGGGGGGGGGCGGACGCCCCCCTCAGGGATTCGAACCCCTGCCGACCCTTTGTACTATTTTGAGATATCCATTTTTGGCTGACTGACCTTAAAATTTTTCTAAAGGCGCCTTTGGCGCCAATCTATACTAATTTTGAGGGGGGTAGGAATTTTCTAAAAAGAGTCTAAAAAAGCCTTTTTCAAAAATTCGCCTCTCGCGCAGAAAGTTTGGTCAAATTAGGGTCTTTATAGTGGTTTGGGAGAGCTCAGAAAATCAATTTGGTCGACCTAAAAAAAAGATCGACAAAATTTTCAAATTTGTTTTTGAAAATTCGCCCGCCCCTTGAGAAATTCTCAGATCCGCGCCTGCCTACTAACTTATTATTTCCACAGTAACATCTCTAATAATTTGAAATTTTACATATGAATTTAACAAAAAATTCGAATTAACAGTTTACAATCATAATTTACATTTGAATTCAACCAAAATTTCAAAAACTTAAGTCCGCTCAATGCTGATTACGGCACAATAAAACATTAATATCGACGAATTTGTTTACAGTGTACGAAATACGATTTAACATTAAGATAAATTGTATTTCATTTTTCAAATTACAATAATTATCACAAATGACACCAACAATAAATCATTCAGTGTATCAATCATATGAAATCAGTGTATCAAAACATGAACTGAGATTTATGGTTCCTCTTAGAACTCAGGTTCTTTTATTGAATAAAATTCACAAATTCATTCATGTGGTTTCTAACTGTAAAATCCCATTGCGAACAACTGTAATGGAGCAACTGGTGCCAATCCTGCCCAGCGGGTAAACTGTAATTGTTTACCCATAGTGTCCACTTCATGCTATTGTCACATATTTCACTCATGCAGGCATCCCATCACTATAGCACCACACGGAATGGTCAGCCAGTTGTTTTTCTATCGCCAACTCTCAAAGCAGTTTAACCACTATTAATCTCATAATGACTGCCTTACCAGCTAGATATTACACTTTAAAATAAAGAAGGATAATCAAATACAAACATGAGTTTAACAGAAAAAAAACGAAAGAAAAAATTATTCAAACTGAAAAATAAATTTTGGTGGTTAATTTTGTATTTCAGTCGTATTTCCAAAAGCCAAAAAATTAACATAATTAGTTTCTGTTTCAGGAATGCACAACAAATCATTACAAACACTGAATGCAGCCAAACAGAAGAGTTCAATGACAGAAGTTATCAACTGAACCAATGTGAAGTGAAGCAACATTTGCAGTAAAATGCCACAATAAATCTTAATTTTATTAAATACATTTAAAAATTTTATATTCTATATATCAAATATCAATTCAGTCTTTCTATCATTGATCTTGTTTTTATTGACACGAAGAAATGTTACGATAGATGCGATGCTCGTCCGACTGTACTTGCAAACTCATAGATTTTCAAGAAGATTTTATTGGGCAGATGACATGGTATTATCACAAACCCATGAACATTTCGCCAGGGTTTAACACAAGAGTGCCGAAATTATTTTCAAAACAAGGCTTTACGAGGATTGAGGTACCACCTGAATGCAGCTTGCCTACTGGGCACGTTTGTAATTATTTTTGAAAGTAGACGGCTAGAAACTGGCTATAACATAAAAGTGGCAAAAAAATAAAAATATTATCAAATAAAAAATTAAAAACTAAAATAACTAGCAGAAGAGAGCGAAAAAACTGCTGTAATTACTTTTGACATCAATCGAAAAAACAACTACTTCTCTAATTTTTGCAATTAAACAATTACTACAATAAATAATTAAAAATGTTCCCGATTTGGTAGTAAAAATATAAATAGCAATTAACTTTTAAAAAAATGTTCCCAAAACTAAACGGTTCATTTCCTGCAATCTGAAGCACATTTTTGGTTGTGGCACTCATTTACTTCTGCACTCTTGAACACTCCTCTACCAGTCGTCCAACATCATTCACAAACATAAAAGTACAGAAAAACTTCAATCACAAGCATTACACAGAGGCAAAGCTTGCAAGCGCAAAATTTAATCAACTAGACAAAAGCAAACTAGATGATTCGAACCCACAAATTGTGCCGAAAAACATTTTGTCTTGGTCACTTTGCCAGGTAGACGTGGATTATAATATCTTCATTGATAATTTCTTCTTAGATATTATGCAGCTTAAAAATAGGGGAGATATATCATGTTTTTGGCTGATGCACAAATTTTCCGCCAAAATGATGCGTTGTTTGGAAAAAAAAGATATCGACATTTTAGCGATTTCTAACAACAAGCTTGCAAGCTCCTAGTTGCACATTTTAGCGATGCAGGCAAAAAAACATAGAGTTCAAATTCCTGCTTTCTAGAAAACGCAAGACTTAGGATAGCAAGCCCGTTTTTCTACCATGTTTCGAATTTTATGCTATTCGATACGGTTTTGAACTTTCAAACTTATATGCTAGTCGACTTTATGCTAGTCGATACGCCGCCTCTGCTGTCCAATCCCTTCCTTTTAAACAAAATGCTCAAAAAACTCGAAAAACCGACATTTTTTTAAAATGAAAAAATATCATTTTTTCCAGCTTTTCTTGGCAACCTTTTCGAAAAATTATAAGAAGTGGTGCGGCTCAACCTAGTGCGATACAATGCCAGATCGTTTTCCATTCTGCCTTCTCGTTTTCCTGGATATTTCTAATCAGGCTAACTAGAGGCGGTCGAATTATCTCCTAAACTGCCATGTTTATATACAGATTAGCCAGTGAGGGTAAATTTGGGTTTATTGCCCGAATTACTCAGTTGATCGGGTGCCACCTTCCGATTAAGAGATGAGCCGCCTTCTTAAATTTGCTTGAAATAAAAACGATTTGCACGGCCTTGCAGTTAGCCAGTTGGGCGAATTAGGATCATTTTTGGACTTTGCCCCGGGGACAAATTGGCTAATCATCCAATGCCGGCTAAAAGGCAGAAGATAGGCTTTCAACATTGATTTTAATTAGTTTAAAATACCTTCGCTTATAGCACTGATGTTAATTCAATTAAATATATGTCGCCCCACACAAAAGAAATGACAGGCCGTGTTTTTGTTCGTGCTTTTAAGCGCCGCCAAGAGAGTGCTTTGCTAAATATTGTTCCCTAAAAAATAAAAGGGCAAAGAAATGGAAAAAAAATTAAGAAATTGGAAAAAAGAGAAAAACACTTAAAAGGCGAGGGATCTAAAGAGCTGCTTAGTTGGCCGTTTAAATTCATTGTTACCTAAAACTCCAGATGCATGAATGTAATCTACCGCGACAGACATTTTAATAACATTCAACTAAGAAGTTCTCTGCTTCTATGGTAATGCGTGAGATGTTTAGGAGCTCCAGCTAATATTGGTTTGTTCAAAAATATTTCAATAAATTTTTCGCGGATTAAACCTTCACCACGCCAAAACGTATCCGCTTAGCAGAAAGGGTTTTTCGCACTTTAACATCTAAAAAATAGAGCTAATTCGACATTATACAAAATATTGCACTTTGTTTTTAGCTTAACATTCCCGAATTAATCCCTCCAAAGCCGATTTCAGACTGAAAAGCTAAAAATTCAAGACAAAACCAAACAGCTGCTCCTAATATGTGATCTTAGAGACAAATTGCTAAAATTCCACTTTCCAATAAAAAATTATCTGTCTGTTTGATGTTTTAAAATGTCTGCCTGTGAAATCCAGTCTGATGACACTGGACAGGATCGGATGAAGATCTGGCCGGATAATTTGAATCTTCATTATCCCACCTGAAAGCAACTTCTCTGTCTTTGAAAAAGACTTTTATTTCAATGTGGGCCTCTTATTTTTCATTAAAAAATAAAATCTGTTCCGACCAAAATGAAAACAATCTTTTTTTTCGAATGCCCCGGAAATGTGCCCCAAACTGGCCGAAAGAACGATACCCCCTTGAAAAATAAACGACTAGTTTAAACAGTAATTCAGTTTGCAAAAATACAACGGATTGCTTGGCTGAAAAGGATTGCTCGGAATCGAGTGAAAAACTTCCTCCTTACAGTAATATAGGGGGTAAATTGTTCACCTGGTCCCAGAAATTTTCTTTGAGAATTTAATCATTTTTGTTTGAAAATCACCGACACACCCCACCGATAGATACATCTCCGTGTTTCGTTTCTCAATCGGAGAATATTGATATAAAAGTGCTATTTTAGCGTCCGATACTTTCGAGCGGGACAGTTACAACAATATAACAGGCGCATAATTAAATCCAATTGATTATGGACAAGAATCAGTCTTTGGGCCGATGTGTGCATTATTAATTGCGTCAAATTGAGTGAAATTAAACTAATCGCCTTTGCTGCTCTGTTGTACTGTTGCTACTGTCTGAATGCTAATCTAGACATGCGTGAATGAAGGAGGATGCTGCGATCGGCCGCCTGATGCCCAGGGACAGAAAATCGATGCAATGCTAGTTATTAAGAGATCAGCAGACCCGATTTGAGGTGGATGGAGATGATATTAACAAATTGCTTAATGGAGCTACTACTTCTATTATTTTTACAGCTATCCATTAATTTAAAATAATAAAAAAACGATTTTCAGCTCTGCTGTTATCAAAGGTCCAAAAATTCTAGAACATTTGACGGCATGTTTGTGGATCTTCTCCGTTCATAATAAAAACCATGTTCGTATCAATGTAAAGCACATTATTGCGAATAATGGTTGTCACACAGTTTTAATATTTGAAAAAATTAGTGAAAAATAAATTTTACATGGCTGCAAAAACATTTTACTAAGTTAACCAAAAGTTAGGGATTTTTTTCTTTTTTAGTCGCAATAGCATTTTTGTGCTCAAATAAATATTTTTCGAAATTTCATCAGTTTAGCAATAGTCAAACAATAACATAAATCTTGAGCAATTTGATGCAATGGGCAGTGCTCATTTATTTTCAAATCTATTGAAACTATAAGCCAATTCAGGAAGCGTTTATAGCAGCACTCCTGCACTTGATTTGAGAAAAAACCTCAATTGTTAATTGCTCAACATTAATTTTTATAAAACAAAATCATATTTTTGACAGCTGCGGATGGGAGAACAAAATATGATAACATTACACAAATGAAAACTTTTGTGAAATTATTTTGTACCTGTTTAAACATTATTGTTCCGACTTTCGAAGAAAGTACAAAATATTTAAGCTTGCGTTGGTTTATTCAATCAGTCAAATAAAACTTTTTAACCAAAAAATTTTGGCAAAATTTTAGTACTATATAAAAGATTTTGTTATAATTAAACGTTAAAAACATTTTTCACCTGTGATTATAATAACTATTTATTATTTGTAAAATTATCGGGGTTTGAAAAATGCCAAAGTGGAAAAACTGAAGCGCAATATTTTGCGTTACCATAACACGTATAAGCGACAAACTAAATCAGTCCCAATTGAATTCTGTAGTTAACACGGCGTGTGAGAGATAAGAAGGCGAAACGAAAAAAGAAATAATTCTATACTTTTTTCGACTATTTTATCTTTTTTTTCTAAGACAAAAGTTTTCTTCAGCTTGAAGAACAGCACATCGAGCAGTCTTGATATTCGAGCAGTCTTGTCATTGCTCCGATCTTTTAAAAAATGGGGAAGAATTTTGCATTCGGGTGTGTTTTAGTTATTTATTTTTTGTTTTCCATGCAAAATCAGGTACTACAAATAGTCACTGGAATGGGTCGAGTAATATATCATACTAAAGTTTTTTCATGCTTCGAACATTAAAAAATTTTGAAAATATTTTCTGTGTGACCATTCACCCCGAAGAATCATCTAAATAGAAGAAAAATATTATCAACTTGAAACCTTCCAATTCTGATTCGACAAATTTTTAAAAACTTTATAAAAATGTCCTAGTTTCGAGAAAAACCGGCTGAAAATTTTGAAGTTTTGGTCTAAATCCTAGCTAAAGAAACTCCACTTTTTTTGAAGCATTTTTCGACAAAAACCTTTTGTCCATTTCCTTATTTTACTGTGTTTGTGAAATGTATCTGCATTTCAGATTTTCTGCAGATACTTTTGCCACACCACGCACAAAAACAACACTAAATTGAAAAAAACCATGAAAATTTTTCAATGTAATTTTCTAGGAATTTGGTCGAAAAATTCTGTGCAACTTGCACAACAACCGGCTGAATTTACAACCGGCTGTTTAATTTAAAAACGTATTTTTTTTTCTCAGCAAATTTTCAGCTTTTAGGTCAAAAAACATTTAAACAATTTTCTGAAATTGCAGTGAGCTAAAATCTAAAACAAAAAATTGAGATGATAAAGCAGCTGGAACCATTACTAATTTATCTGGAACCATGACTTTATGTTTAAAAAACCTAAAAACATCTTTCGAGATAAGTTTAAAATCCTGAAAAAATATCCAATAACCTATTTTCCGAGACTTTATTTTCGTAATCAATCGCGACCAATCAATCATTACAGTTTTACCATCGAACGAAGGCAAAAATACAAACTACCTTTAGCATAATGTATCACAAAAACATTAAATAAATTGATTCGTCGATTAAGCTCGGAAAGAAAATCAAACGGTATCTAACCCGCTACGTTGAACATAGCAAGTTTTTGAAATCATTTATAATTCTGTTTTTAAAGGCCTTAGCATCAATTGTGAGTGATTTAGTACTGCTTTCTATCCAAAAAAGTGCGACTTAGTCAAAAAAAGTGAACTTGTAGTTTAAATAAGACATTTTGTGTAATGATACCACCAGTTCATGCTAAAAACAAAAAGCAGAGGAGTATTTGAATTAATTCTCAGTTCTCTTTTGCGGTCTTGCGACTCATAATTGAAAAGAGAGCCAATAGTCTTACCATAAAAAAGAAGTCACAAGTTTTATACTCCACTCTTTGCCACTCTTTTTGTTTACCAGATTTTTTTTTAATATAACGTATATTTCATTTGAATACAACTTTAAATTGTTAAAAAAGTGATGTAAAATGCTTAAAACTAAACAATTGGCCGTCAAAATTGTCACAGATATATGTTTGTAATAGAACAATTCATAGATTTTATATTCAATAACTCATCATACTTTTCGTTAACCAGATATAAAAAAGTATAGCTTTTAACTTATAACATAATTTAATTTGAACTAAAAAGGTGTTAAAATGCTTGAAACTGAGCACTTGGTCTTCGCACTTGGTAGTCACAACTGGCAACAGAGCTCGCAGTTTACTACAGGGTCAGCCATAGTGCACGAGTTACAACACAGAGCCTTGAATGACCTGCCAGGAGTGAAATGCTATTCTCTGTGGCCATCAAATGTTCTCAAGTCACCAGTAGATAGAGATGATTACCGTGTTGTCGAGTTGAACCACCCGGTGCCAATTTGCGAAGGAGTTCACCCGCAGAGCTCGCTTAGATTCCACTCTCTGAGTACTGACCAGTTTTCAAGTTACATGGATCTTCTGGTTTCAAAATCGGCCGAATACATAAATTACATTGAGGAGAAACATGGGAGACCAGTGGAATTCATGATGGCCCATCATGTGTTCAACAATGCAGTGGTTCTAACCGAAGTGAACAAAAGGAGGGAACTGGAAGGGAGAAAGAGAGTTCCCCTGTTTGTGTTTGCACATGGAACCGGATTGCTCTTATATTTGAATGAGCTGCAACAGAATCCGGATTTCCCTATTCGCTTCTATCCCTGGATTCGAGAAGAAGTAGAATTATTCGAAAACAATGAACTAGTCCAGGGAGTTTTTATGACGAAACTTCAAGAGTCGAAATTCAGCCAACTTTTCCCAAACTTTCCAACAAAAAAGATCAAAGTTGTCAACCTAGGCTATGACCAGAGTATTTTCCGAAAGATTGATACTTCAGAAGGCCGAAACAAACTCGCTTCGAACTGGAATAAAGTTTTGTATGAGAATTGCGATAGTTCTAACTTTCCAGCTATGATTGGCGACAAAAAAGGATTACCCAATTTAGAGTCATTTGAACACATCGTAGCGTTTTGCGGCAAGCTGGATGAAATTAAACGCCTGGAAGTTTTATTGAATGCTTCAAAACTGTGGGAGAATGAAGGAAGATCCATTGTGACACTAATTGCCGGAGGCGCCATGAAGGAGTCAGTGAAAACATACGTTGACATGGCCTATGAAGACTTGCGACTGCAGAACACTTACTTTCTTGGACCTATGGGTCAACTAGAACTGGCCAAGTTATTCAACATTACAGACGTTCTTGTACTTCCCAGTAAGAGTGAGTCATTCGGCATGGTTCTCATTGAAGCGCTGGCATGTGGAGCCTCAGTCATTGGCATGGAGTCATGGGCACCATTTGATTTTCACAAAGAAAATGTTGGAGTGATGCTAAAAGACGGAGAAAACACAGACGAAATAGCCAGGACATTGCACGATGCAGTAGCAAAATCAGTCCACGAAAAAGGGGATATAAACAGACGCGACCACTGCGCACTGTTCGCTTTGAATAATTTCAGTAATGCACAGAAAGTGAAAGAATTGCTAGAAACTATGAAAAAATGGGAACTGTATTAAGAATTCTCGGAGGTTACCGGTTTGTAATATTCTATCTAATTCGTTCTCTGATCACAGGTAGTACGACACAGATTTGAGTCCATTAAAACCATCGACTTTTACTTTTACAGTACTGCATTCAGCGAGGTCGCTTTTAAAACCACAGCACTAACACCAAACTGAGTCCAAAGAACAAAACTTAAGTAAAAAAAATAACGTTTTCATTTGTATCTTATTAATCTTCTTGTAAAGTAAATCTTCCATTAAGACAATGTTATAAACTCATAACTCTCTTCAAGGTTCAAACACAGAGGCGAAGTTGCACTTCGCATACACAGGCAAAAATATGACCGATAACGCTACTGGGAAAAACTGAATGAGTAAAACTTCGTGTCTACAAAATTTCTTAAGTGACGCACGCCAATTGTGAGTCTATAAAATTGCTAAGTGACGTCAGCGAATTATGACTTATTAACAGTACCCGCACTGGAGTTCTATGGAGAATATCGATTAAACGGTCATTTTATTGTCAGTATCTATAAAATTACTAAAGTAATCGATTATAATCCATCAAAAATGAATTGTAATCATAGTATTTTTATATCAAAATAATCCATTATTATCGATTATAATCCATTAAAATGGAAAACAATCATAATAATTTTCTAATCAATCTAATCTATTATAAAAGATTATAATCAATTATAATGTACTTTTTAAGAATTTATGATTTTTGCAAATAGTTTTCTAAGTTATCTCATTTCTCGTTTCGTGCGGTTGCTACGTATAACGTTTCAACAAAAAAATTACTTTTCACATTAGATTAAATTATTTAAGTTTTCTGAACTTTTTCTATACTTTACGTAAACTCAATCACCACTTTTAACAACCCCCTTCACCAGTTTACCCTACCGCTCCCCCACACAGTTTACACTTCGTCAGTTTTCACCCACCCCCTTCTCACCCAGTTTACTGAAAATAGGCGAGGTAAAAAAAATGGGAGTGGAACAGAAAACTTGGGTTAGGGGGCTAAACTGGAGAGTGAGGGTAAATAGGTGCTGTTTACACTGAGTAACCCCCCCCCCCCCCCCCCCCGGTCCCGTTCAATGGTAAACAAACTGGGGGGTGGGGGATAAACTGTAACCTGTAACTAGGGGCGTTCGGGTTGGTGGTAAATTTAAGTAAACATCGGACTGGGCGATGGGATAAAAGTAGGGAAATGGTTTAAATGCGGGTGTCTGGGGGAGGGGCAAATGTGGATGATCACTTTCAAAAAGAACACATTTTGTCGCAACAATATTTGCGTCGCAACAATAATTGCGACCTAGGTTGGAAAAAGTGAGTTCATACTATAACAACCATTGCTTGTGTTAACACGTTTAAAAAACATCATAGCATACATTCTTAAATAAAATCTGTTCTTTTTGCGCTCTTAAATAAAATCTGTGCTCTATGTTCTTTTTGCGTATAAAAATTTCCCGTACGCTTTGTCAAAAAATGAATAGCGAAAGCTCTGATCAAAATTTAAACCAGTTAGGAGCCGAGAGGGCTTTGGACAATAGCAATCTGGAATCCAAGCAAATAATGCAAAATGGTAGCACACAACACCTCTGAACAAGTGGTCAGAGATGTTAAAAGTGCGGAGGAACATACTTTATCTTCTGGCGTGATTCAGTTGAATTTTTTCAGGTGTTTGAGCCTCCCTGAAAACTCAGGCAATCCAATTAAACGTCAATAGTACAACTCTGGGACATCAAAACCGTTTAATTCGACCGATGTTTAAAAAACTTTTCAGCGTCAGTGTCAAGAAAAACGGTTTAACCTTTTAATGAATGCGATTAATGTCAAAAACTTTTAAAATTATTATGAATTGCAGAATTTTTTTTAAAGATTTGGCCTCTACATTAATTATTCATTTTTTTCTGTTAACTTTTTAAAAATGCTGGACGCCGGAGTATTTGGTGGACAAAAATAGCAAAAACTGCATGTTTGGAATCAGAATAATTAAAAAAAACTCAGTACTGATTGGCTTCAAACCTGGTACGTCCGGATCGCAGCCTTACTCTTTGCGATTTTGTCGACGTGCTCTAAAAAACTACGTGTGTTTTTTCTCGATAATAAAATTAAACTGCAAATATTATTGCACTCGAGCTACACATTTATTGTGTCAATATGTACTGTTGTTGTTGTTGTTAAACCCGAGGGGGCGCGTCCAGCAAGATCAAACAGAATTTCAGAAACTTGTCAACTTCGGTCACCCGAAGCCACAAGTCTATGGGAGTCAAGGTAGTGGTGTTCTTAGAACAGTTGAAAAGGTATAAAGTGTTATGTTGGAACATACAGTAGGGGCAGTTTGGAGGGATGTTTGGGTAGATTCTTTTTAGGTAGTAGTTCAAAAAGGACCTGTAAACGGATCTTAGTTGGGAAATAGTTCTTCTGGTGGCGCGAGAGAGAGAGAACTTTTGGGGGAGGTGCATCTGTAATTGCCTGTTCAACACTTTTCATTTGCAGTTTTTAAAAATCGGTTTGAACTATTACAAGGCGAAAGAACTTAGTTGTAAAAGAGACGTTTGCTGCGCTTTAGAGAAAACGTTCGATTGCGGGATTATATAGATCATGTACTGACGGGCGGATGTTTCGGGGATGTCTGGGGTGAGTGTGACAAAAAAGTAGGGGGTTAGAGGGAATATAAGTTTTGAGGATAAATTTAGCGGAAAGTAATTTATGATGATGGACAACACTCACTTTTGTACTAATTGAAGTTGGTTAATAGACGTGAAACTAGCGGCATGGGACCATGCTAGGCACTCGTACTCTAAAATTGGTCGGAACAAAGCCTTGTGAGTAGCCAGAAATGTCTCTGCTGACTGACCCCAATTTGTCCCAGATAAGGCCTTCAGGCTTGCTATTCTGCGCACGGCTTTTGCAGACATTGGCTTTCAGTGCTTCGCGAAATTAAGGGATGTGTCAAAAAAGACACTGAGCATTTCGGAGTGTTTCTCCAAGGGTAGGAGTGTAATGCATTTTACTAGGGTCAGTGTTGACTTCCTTGTTGAACGAAGAAAAAAGGTTGGCGGAGTCTTTGGATGAGAAAAAAACAGAAGACCAAGAAGTAAGCTTTGTTTGACTGCAAAATGGTGAGGAAGTCGTCTGTGTATGATCGTAGTTTAGCTTCATGAAAGTAGAAATTGAATAATGTTGTTGATAGGGCTGAGCCTTGTGGGATACCTGTACGTACAATCCTGCATGTAGACAGTGCGTCCCTAAAAAGGGGCGTTCGCTTGGCGACCACTCAGATGATTTGATAACCATCTGGTTAAGCTACCCGGTACGCTGGTGCTATGAAGGAGATCCAGGAGAGTTCGATGGCAGACCATGTAAAAAGCTTTGGACAATTCTAGCGTGGCAAAAACTGTTCTAGTGGCTGGCCTTTGTGGTCTAAAACCATCACTGATAAAACATTAGAGGGCTGATAATGCCGTAGTGGTTGACTGCACTGGGCAAAAGCATGTTGATGGTCGGCGTTTGGTAGACGTTTAGTTAGGGTAGGGTGGATTAGCGATTCTAAAGTTTTAACACCTAGGCTTAAAACTGAGACTGGGTGTAGGATTCTGACAATTTAAAGTTCGTTGTTTAGTGAGGGTTGCTTCTTTTGAAATCTTCCAAATTTGGGGGATGATGTTAAGAGACAGAGAGTGATTGAAAATGTTTGTTAAAAAGCTAACAGCTGGGTGTCCAATATGTTTGAGCTCAACCGTGCAGAGACCGTCAGGTCCTAAAGCTTTCGATGTTTTCATCAGTTTAATACAGTTTTCCACTTCGAGTGGTATGAAGTTTAAAGAGCCAATATACAATCATTCTCATCAGTGATTGAAGTAATTCTTTAAGACTTTTCAAAAGCCCATAGCATGAATATCTGAATACATTGATAGGATAGTTTATTTTTTTATTACATTTGTTTTTTCAAAAACTTGCAAACTTCTTGTTACAATTGGTGGATGATCGCTACAATCATATCCATACTACCCAACCAAACAACGAAAGAACGAATTGAAGAAAATTAATAAGCGGTTTCAATTTTCCTCGCTTTTTAAAACTGCTGCTTCAGTTCTTTTAAAAGCATAGTATTTTTTGAATTATATGACAATTGTTCTTAAACTTCTACAGAGAAAAATTTAGTTTTTTTCTCCCAATTTTCGTTTGAAATTCATCGTAACAAATCTTTGCAAACAGAAAGACGGAATATAAAACAATTATCATGTAATAACTAGCGCGTAACGGGCACCTACTGTGCTTCAAACAGGCTATTGAACGCGAAAACAGCTTCCTGAAATAACAGCCATAAGAAAAACGAAGATTTTTTCAGTGTTTTCTATTTCGTAGAGTGAACGATTTAAAAAGAATCAAATTTTAGGTTCAATTTTTGCTGAAACTTTTAAATCTCCAACGCTACTGGTTTTCAGATCTTTGAATTTTAATTTTCGGAATGGGAACCTATTTTGAGGCGTATTTCATTGCTAAGTGGTATTTACTAATAGGACACTGACGCCTGCTTCGTTTCCAGTTTACTTTTGTTTAATTATCTTTTTTACCCTTCAAAAGTTTTTGTTTGTAGTAAAACTTTGACTTCTTGTGTTGTTAGAAAATTGAGGATAAAAACTGAGAAAGATGAAAAATTATAAAGGCAATTTTTGATGTTCCGAGCAATTTTTTCACAGCTTTAAAAAATTTTTAACAATTCAATCAGAAAACGGTTAAGAATTAAAAACAAAAAAGAATGTAGAAATCAGAAGCCGACATCATTTTAATTGAGGGGGGAAACAAAACGACACTCTCTAAGGAAAACAAAACTTGTCAAAAAAAAGTTTTTCACGACCCAATTCTCTTGAACCAAACAAGTATTCGAATCTTTTTGCACTCAAACCTACGCAAAACAAAAATAAACAAAAAATGAACAAAATTAATTAAAATCAGAGTTGGTAAAGTTACAAATTACAGAACTTTTCATTCTAGAGAAAGCAGTCCTAATCAAATGAAAAAACAATGGTTTGAAAATTAAGTCGCTAACAAAAAGATAATATTAAGCATAAGATAATAAGAAATTAGGCATGTCAGCCAGCATGTGATGCCAGTAACAGCACGTAAATCTCAAATTTAAGAAAATTGTTGGCAGGAAAAATTCTAGCTCTGATCAAAAGTAGAAATGGATATTAGAAATGGTATTAGAAAGTTGTTAACTTACATGAAACAACATTTTTTTTCATAATCCATTTTACTGGGCAACTTTCCAAAACTCGGTCGGTAAAAACATGCAGGACATGTTTTAATGTTTTTGTTTAGCAGCATCCCGTGATCAGCAATTATCCGGAATGAAGTGTTTATCAAATTTAAGGGCCATACAGTTCTATTCAAGGGACACGACATTCTTCTAATTATATGAAAAGGATTCGTTAAGTTTTTTTTCGCCGATCTTGCTGAAACAAATCTCCTTAATAAACGTCAACGAAAAAAGTTCAAAAAGAGGGAACGTTCAAAAAATTCTTTTCAATTATTCATAATTTCGTTCAAATCAAGTAATCTACTTTTTCATCAGAAAATTAATATATCAATAGCAAAAAGGAATGATTTGGTTTAAGCATAACTGAGGTCTTTCAGCGTCCATTAAATTTTAAACCATGCTCGTCATAGCGCAATGACACCAAAAAATACAAATTGCATTAATTACAGATTTATATAACACGAAAAATTTAGAACACAACTTGCGCATAAATCAACGGTCAATTAATTAGTGAGTGAAAAAGCGAAGCATTACGACTATGCTTAAGAAATCTAATTAGCAAGTCTTTGCCATCTTGTGAGACTCTTAGGATCAAGTTAATAGACCAAGTTAAGATCCTACACCCCAGCGCTTAATTTAAATTAAATTCGCTAAGCGCTGCATGTAAAATGCTCGATTCTGATTGGCTGAAAAATCCCAACTTAGAACCAAGTTAACATCCTCCCCCAAAATCTTTGGTGGGAAAGATGTTAACTTGGTCTGACTTTTTTTTGCAAATGAATTGTCTTTTCTAAAATTCTATAAGTACTACATAAACCATTATATTTGATATACTGGGAAAGAAAATAAAGAAATGCACAAAAAAGACCATGACTTTTCTTGTTTTTAAAATCGAAACTTTTCAAATGATCGGTTTTTGTTTTAGTTCATGACATTCATATCTGTTTCGTTCAGTTCAAATTTGCATACAACGCAGAAGTCATGCGTACCTCCCATTTGTCTTCCCAGTTCACGATTTTTAATCACCGCCAATTTCAAAGCATCACATGAAAACTGAGCCTTGAGATTTGTATGAATAGCCCTGCCCATTCCCGTTAGAATGACCAAATCAGTTTGCATGTTAGATACAAGTTCTACCAATCGATAGTCGATGCGGCTCAAGTCCAAACAAGGCGAGTATGATCCTGTCTCGGCCAACATTAACATCTCACTGTCTAGAGCTTCTTTAATTTCATCATTTTCACCGGCCAGAAGACCAATTTCAAGCTTCAGTTCCAAGAATGTTACGTCATTAAGAGCCGGATATGTGTTACTAGCTAAGATGACTTTCGTTTTGCGTCTGATCAAATACAGCGCCAATGGCAAGATTCCCAGAAATAGGTCGAAGCCACTGTTGTCGACAAATACCAAGGCGCATTTATAATCACGTTTCTGATCCGCACCCAGCAACGCTACCTTCAGTTGATCAAAATCATCAATTAACCATGGTCTAGGTTCAATCATCTCCCTTGCATTTGTGATTCCAAATCCCGGTTGGAAAAATTTTGCAACTGTGCTTGCACCCCAGTCAAAGAAATTCCCAGAAAGAGCACCGTAAATAATTTCGAGGAGTTCTGCTTCACTGCCATCCTGCAACGTGTTGATATAGTCCATTCTGGCATTAAACTGGCGCTTTGCAAGATCGTTTTCGTTTTGCTTCTTCTGTAAAAATATGTCATGATACCCAGCGTCTCTTAGAGACTTCTGATTCAAATTCAGGAAGACTCTCACAGAGCAAGATCCCTGGGCCAAAGGCTGCGCTTGAATTCGCTCCAGAGCACTGATATAGAACCTTTTGTAGGACTTGGCTTTCTCTGTAGATGTCGGATCGTATTCAAGTGCCAGATCATACATCCGGTCGATTTGTTTCTTAAATACGTTGAGCCAAAACTCGCGTCTTTCTGGGTCAGTCGCTAAGTCAAAAGTATCCGCAACATACGTCTCGGGTTTTTTCAGCAAAGGCAAGGGTTCCAAAAGGGAATTGCTAGAATCTAATTCAAACATGTTAATCTGATTGAGGACTCTCCGACTGTTTTCTTCATCTGACATGTTAAATGAAGTGTCGAACATGTAGTTCTCGTCCCACGAGTACTTTTCAATGTCTTCCTCTTCCGTTCCTTTCAGGAATGCACCAATAGCACCTAAATATCCCTCGTGTCTCAGAAACAGAGCATTTACCGCCCCGTCCGAGAAAAAGTCAACTGCAAATGATATCGTATGCATAGTAGCACGATTGTTTCTGATGAAATAACCGCCAAAATATATTTTATTGACATTGTGAATTCGCGCGTACAAACATGCAATCTGCCCAATTCCATTGCTGATCATATGGAGGAGACTTTTAGCTTGATCGGCATCGCTGAATTTTGATCTATCAATAGTCTCGTCGCGGGATCCACGCACTGTTTTTCCAAAAGAACTGGCGGTTAGGTCACTTGGTAGACCAAGTTTATCGCAGTTTCGTCCGTAGATATCTTTAACAAGCATGTCAACGTTGGCCGAATGTCCTTCAGTACATAGGTCTAAGAGTTCATCGAATCCTTTGGCGTTTGTCAGTAAGGATCCGATGCCCCAGAAAGTACCGCCTCCCATCGCGGTTCCGCCCACACGTTGAAACTCACTGGGCGATGACACCTCGAGTATACTGACTCCTGAGCCTATGTTGACCAAGAGGTAGGGATAGTCTATATTCTCATAGTTGTGGAATAGAAACGGGTTCTTCTGCCCCTTCTTGTACTCGAACACCTCGTTCCGAATGTTTTTGATGAGAAAGTCACAACCTTTCACAATACAGTCCATCTCTCCTACAACAAAAGATATCATGTATTTCAACAAAGCCAGAATTTAACTTCATTGTTTACTCTGGCCTGGCCTACTACTGGTGACATCAAAATTTAATTTAAAAAACTAGCAAAACCAACAGTATTTTCTTTGCATTAAGTTTCTTTCAGCCATAGAAATGTGTGTCCAAATAAGTGGAGAGCATCAAAACTTGCTGAGAAAAAAATAGTTAATTTTTTCAAATAATGCGTCGCAATTATGTAACCTTCTGCGTCTAGCTTGCATCCGAGCTGAGATGATATGAGTTCCTGGTACTTGAGAGCGCCTCCGCCAGTGGCTTTGACCACTTTGTCCTTCATCATATTCACACTACAATGCACCAGTTCACTCTTGAGGAACTCCAGACACTGCTCTATGTATTTAGTCTCCGCTTTGATGAAGTGAAGTCTGAATCCAGTCGAGTACGCCTTGTCTCCTTCCTTTGTGGCAGCAGGACCCGATGACGATATGGAACCATCGCTAGTGCAGGCCGCCTTTTGGGGTGCTTCGCAAGCAGCGCTATCGTCTTCAGAGCAGGAGTAGCGTGTTTCACGGCGCCTGACCTACTCAGGAGAAAAAAAGTTTCACAAAATATTCAAGTGAGTTAGAAATTTGTCATTTAGTGAAGTTTGAAAATTGTATTTTATATATGCAGTTATCGTTGATATGATTCCCTTGAAGCCCATCCAATAACAATCACTAGGGATTTAGTGCAATTTCACAACCAATAACAATATTACAGGATCTTGCTTTTACTCAAGTTTGAACCTAGATCAACAAATTGTTTTATGACAGCACAAGACATTGGACATTTCCGTCGCAATTCGATAAAAACAGACATTGTTGATGGTCAATTTATGATTAACAGAAGCAATGTCATAAAGAAAAGAAGCTTGCCTGATTATGACGGACCTGCAGACAAACATGACGATATAGAACTTCTTTTTTATTAAAATTGACTTCTTATGGGGCCTAGGAAATTAGACGAAAACCAAATTAGACGTGACCAACAAAAACGAATTTAGACGTCGATGCAAAATTACAAATATGGGAAATTAGACGTTATTGTATTGTTCGTGCCTGAAATTTGTTTACCGACAATTAACTTTTGTTCAGCTTTCTTAAATGCAAATCAACTTTTCACATGCCGCAATTTTCACATTCCGCATTTTTCACATGCCGATGCCGCAACTGTATAATTTATGCATTTCAAAAGTGTTTTATAATCTTGAAATTGACATTTTATAAATCAATTGTGATAAATATTTTGGCTTTTTCCTTCCTCCCCCCTCCCCCCTCCCCACCTCACACGAGCTTCAAAATATATGTGTAACGAGTGGTTTTAACGAGGTTGAGTATGAAGATCATTTATGTTTGTCCTGGCCTTATTTGTCCGTATGTAAATTTTCATTACAATCGGACAATGTGGTCAACAAAATTACATGTAAAAATTTGCACTTGTGGGGAAGGAAAAAGAGCCAATATTTTGATATGCAATTGGATCATATACTATTTTTTTTGTAAATATGAAAATTTGTTTTGGGCAATAAGTTTTGTTAGCCCTTTGCTTTCCGTCTAAAATGCTAGCTTTGCAAAAACAATTTAAAGTCCAAATTCATTTTTGTTGGTCACGTCTAATTTGCTTATCGTCTAATTTCCTAACCCCCACTAGCGAGCGAATTTTAATTTTAGTTAAAAGAAACAAAATGTTTCAGACGTTGCCACTTGATATTAGGAATTTGTAAGTGTTTAAGTATTTACCTTTGATATGTAAACAACTTTGGCAAGTGATCCTCCAATGTCGATGGCGAATCTAGTGGCATGTCTCAGATTGCGAAACACGTTCTCAGAGAACAGTGGCTCATCCTTGTCGCCCTTGGTCTCGTTTGGCACATTGATACTCGTTCCAAAAGTGGGTTCAGATCCAGACATCGATTTGGGTATAATTAGTTGGGTTCAAGAACAAGCTAAGCTGGGCAGATTCATCGCACAATATTTAGACTTAGTCATCCATTCTCTCTGGAAATATTTGTAAACAGTATTTGACCACACAAATACAGCTAAGATCAAGAAATGGCATCTAAATGCAAATCAGGGTGTGACCCGACTAAAATATCAAAGCGATATTAACAAGATGGTCCCTTAAAAATAAAGATGAAGATAGAATCTATACATTTACTCTTTCTAACTCTAAATGGTAGCAGTAGTACTGAAAAGATGAACAAGAGACGCGGCAAATATGTTATCGTTCCCACAAGCGACCAGAGTTTGGACGAGCCTAGAACACAGAGGTCGAAGCTAGAAAACAGTCGGTTTTCAGAACACATAGGTCAAAGCTAGAAAACAGTCGGTTTTCTTTTTAATTGAATTTTTCATGATTTAACCTTGATGAAAACTTTCTAAATTAAGAGATGACAGCTTAAGCCAAATTTTTTCTTAATACAAAAACATCTCAAAACTCAGCAATAACTCCTAAATCTCAAGTGATTCAACCCAAATCTTCGAAAACTTTTGAAAATCGAAATTTTGAAAACAAAAAGCGACCTCACATATTCTTCCATTTTACCAAATAAAATAGAAAAACCAAATTGAAAATAAATTCATTTAATTAACCGATATTTCCGAAATATAAATTTCTTGATTTCCGAAAATTTATTTGGTCTACGCGCATTCTGATTACTAGAGTACTTACACTCGAACTTCTGATAACTACTTACACTCTAACTCTGCACTTTCCAGTGGATAAGTTCTTCTGGTTTACTATTTAAACTGGTCTACCCATTATTATGTCTAGCCATAACTTAACATTTGATGAGTTTGAAAAACTTAATGAAAATGCTCTATACAAAATTTATGCAGATCTGTACGACCGGGAGGACTATAGAAAGACTATTAACATCATTAATCAAACAGGGGGAAGGGCGAACGGAACTTCAGGACAGATCCAGGAGTCAAGCACCCAAAACGTCAGTACCAGGACCCCAGTTATACGTGAGTTTGAGCCCCTCAAAATCCACGAAGATACTAAGAACTTAATTATGGGTTCTAGTATCACAGCTAGAATCAAACAAAAACTATGCCCAACGACACGATAATCCATTCATATAGAGGCAGTAGCACAGAGGAAAAACTGAAAGTGTCAACTAAACATCCGAGCTCGAAACTAAAATGCGCAATTGATGGCACTAACTCTATTTTAAAGAGGAAATTTGAAACTTTGAATGACTTCTCGATGATAAAAATTGAGGAATTGATTGAATTATAAGTGCAAAACTTCACATCTGAAATAGTGGTAATATGAGAAATACCACCAATTTTGGATAACGTAGAGGCAAATAAAAACGTAGACTTTTATAATGAATAGATTAACTGCACATACGGCTCTAAACTTGGTTATCAAATACTGAAACTAAATACAATGATAAAAAACAACAACAACTGGAGCTTTCTCTATTTGGACAAAATTCACTTAAATGACGAGCATGGTGGACCGTTTTTTTTTTTACAAAACTGCCGCAGATCTTCCATCTGCCAATACTCTAATAATCAACTCCGCCCAAAAAATGTACAAAACTTCGACAATCAGAAGCATAACAATTCTGTAAATCGGCTTCATCCTTATTAACGGTCACGCAGTAATTTCAATAATCTTGCTATGCCTCCAAACCCCTTATATAGTTTTATGCAGAGTTACTATAGCTAAAGCTAGTTAAAAAGAATTTGGTATAAGTCTGGTATTTTTGTTTTGGAGTTTTCAACAAAGTCAATGTTAACAAATAAACTCTTCTTTGTGCTTATGTTCATCTATTGCAACAAAGTAATCATTTTTCGATAATTGACCAAATTCAGAACAAGTAATAAATTTCCATGGGTTGCCAATTTTTTTCCATTAAGTCAAATTGAGTGCCTCTCAAGCGCACTAATAACATCACTATAGTGCCTCCCAAGCGCACTTTACCTTAATCATTATTATTGATAATTTAAGTTTCACTAATATTAACACTTCTCGTATTATTAACTTTATTGTCAAAATTACTTTTATGCTGCAGCACGATAATCTAAATCCAGCTCCAAACCTACAATTTAACGACAAATCGCAGAGACTAAACGATTACAGAAACAACATAAAAACTCTACGCCTAAACTGCAGGAATTTAAACAAAAAAGATCTGGTCTGAAAAAACTAGTAAATAGATGTGGATTAAACACAATTTATGGATTCACTGAGACAAGGTTTGATGACTCCAATGATAACAACTTATGGACACTAGATAGTGATCATTTTGTCTCCTTTCGATGTGATAGATCAGCAGTCGCAAGCGAAAGAACAAAAAAAGGGGGCGTCATGATACTCATTATTAAATATTTCCTATAATCCAAATAAATCTAACAAAACAGAATTTGTCGATGAACTTGCTCTGTCAGTTGACTTCGCACAATCCTTTAATTCAAATATTGTTCTTATGGGCGACTACAACCTTAACTATTAAAATACTGAAGAAAAAGAATCATTAGATACCATTTTAACACCCTATAACTTAGAAGTTGTCAATAAATCAACACCAACTCATTCAAAAACACTGATTGACTATATTATCACAGTTTCAAACTCAACCAAATTGAAGAACAAAGTTTTAAATTTCAATCCACCAAATAAAAGTGATCACTAAGCTACAATTTTGATATCTGAAACGAAGTTAGTTGATAAAACTATGCCGTTTAAGCGCACAACCTACAATAGATCAAAACATTCAGAAAAAGAATTTAAAATTGCGCTAACGAGTATTAATTGCGAGTCTTTCTACAGGCAAAACAACCCTCTAGAATAACCCTGTAGAAAGACAAAAAAATGTTCAACGTTTTAAATTCCAATGTAGTAAGCTGCCTGAAAAGATGCGCACCACTTAAAACAGTCTACAGTCCTAACGACAAACCAAAAGTCACCCTGAAAGACGATAGTTTTATATCGAAATTATTTAATCCTGAAACAACTGAGCGACATAAATGGAACACAATAAATGACACAAGAAACTCGAAAAAATCAGCAAACAAAATCACACTACTAAAAAATTCATTTGGTGAAGCAATAACAAACAACTTCTAAATGGCAAAATTTTTGAACTACAAGTTTTCTAGACTCGGATGATTTTTTGAGAAAAAAGAACAAAAACGTAATTGATTTAACCGTCTAAAACACAAGGACCAGTAAGGAAAGCAAACAAAATTTTGGTTTCCGGTTTGTAAGTGAAAATGAATGTAAGAAAAAGTTAACAAATTTAAACGCAAAAAAAACCACCCGGACCTTCTAGCCGGGGCTCTGAAAGATGGGTGCAATGAAATATATCCACACCTTACATTTCTTGCATAAATGAATTTATTAGTAAAATTTATTTCCAACTAGACTCAAAAGAGCAATTATTACGCCAATATACAAAAAAGATTACCCAGAAATAACAGAGAACTATAGACCAATCTCCATAACAGGCGCACTCTCTAAAGTTTTTGAGAAACTACATACGGGGGTAATTTTAGATTAATTTCTAACCTTTCAGGCAGAAGTTTAAAATATATTCAGAAACATGGCTAGCAGGATCAAAACAGTACAATCGATAAAAAAAACCAGTGACAATCAATAACCGAATACTATTAAAGAACGCTTTAGTCATTAGCCGTCTGCACTACCCAGCAAAGCTAGTAGGCAGCTCGGCATCCAATCTAAAAATATCGCTTGAAAAACAACTGAGATGGGCAATAAAGACCTGCTGTGAGAGAAAAAAATTTGATTCTTCATTCGATCTTAAGCTGGAATACAAGGTACTTCCGGCTTCCTGTTTCTCGATTGGAAAATAATTTGCCATCTATGGAAAATCAAACATAACCTACTACCGGCATACAAAAATATCAAGTACGTGAACAACACAAATGATGAGAACAAAAGAACTAAAAAACTACACTTTCAAGCAAGATTCAGCAGTCATTATATCGAAAATAGTTTTTCAGAAAATCAGTTCTTATTTGGAACCTAATTCAAAATGCAAAATCAAACATAAACAGCAGCATTTTAACTTACAAGACTATGGAATTTAAGTTTAAGGAATATTTTCTATCTAATTTTTGTGAAGATCCTTCCATGGCAACCTATGGAAAAACATGGAAACTAAATTTATTTGCTGTTTAAATTCTAACCATTACTTTTTTATATTGTAAACAAATATATAACCAAGAAAAACTGTTTGGCTTACACTTGCTTAAAAATATTAGTTTTCATTTTGCAATTAAAGTGTTCATTTTTTTTTCTTAGAGTGTTTTTCAAACGGAAAATTGGTGAGGCACTTTCAGATATGATTCCAGCTGCATTCAAAATTTTTCCCTAAAGCCTTTACATTGTTATAAAACTTGACTTTTATATTCTAAACCGTATTCCGCGAGACGACTCTTGCCAATTGATCTCATCTAATCAGGTACTGGGCCAACAGGTTAATTTAAACCTTATTCAAGCCGCTGTCAAAAAGTATCGTTTTCGCTGAGATCGATCTGGACTTACATTCAAAGATACTTGGACAGCAACAGACTATTGTTTTTGTTCCGACTGAAAACGAAAGATGGAGCTTTGCATTCGGATCTTTAATGTTTTGGGCGTAACTAAATATTATGAGTTAATATCGGATAGTCAAAAGATGCCTCGTATAAAAGAATTTTTTAGTCGTTATTCACGTGTCAGGACATTCGTGTCCCAGACATTTATGTCCCGGTAAAAACAGTCCAAAATCCAAAAAGTGGCCAAGACTTTTGGTTCCCAGACAAAAGTGTCCGGGCTATTGCCGCACTAAATAATGACCGGATTAATTTCATTTGCTCTCAATAGGAAGGATTAAGTCGATAAGGCACGCAACTGAGCAATTAGACCAGAAATTACTTTGCGCAGCATATTAGAGACAAAATTAACAGAGGACTCAAATCATTTACACATACCTACACAATTATCGCTTGATTGATAATGTTTCCAAACGTAGACACGAGAGAACAATTTCATTGTTATTGCTCTCGAGTTCGT